GGGGGGGCCTCCCTGACTTGCCACCTCTGTGGTGTCTTCCAGGCTCAGAGGCTGCTGGGCCGAAAGAGGCCCCGCCGGTCCTTCTTTGACTCCTTCGTCCGGACCCTCATCATCGTGTGCGCTGCCCTGGCCGTGGTCCTCTCCTCTGTCTCCATCTGTGATGGTCACTGGCTCCTGGCCGAGGACCGCCTCTTCGGGCTGTGGCACTTCTGCACCAGCTCCAACCAGACTGGGCTACACTGCTTCAGGGACCTGAGTCGGGCCGGCGTGCCAGGGCTGGCTGTGGGCATGGTCCTGGCCCGCAGCGTGGGCGCCTTGGCCGTGGTGGCCGCTGTGTTTGGCCTGGAGCTCCTCATGGTGTCCCAGGTGTGTGAGGACATCCACTCGCGGCGCAAGTGGGCCCTGGGCTGCATGCTGCTCCTCGTGGCCTTCGCCCTCTGCTCCGTGGGGCTGCTGAGCTTTGTGGTCCTCCTCAGGAGCCAGGTCACGCTCATGGGCCTCACCCTGATGTTCTGGTGCCAGTTCACCGCCTCCTGTCTCCTCTTCTTGAACGCCATCAGTGGCCTCCACGTCAACAGCATCACCCATCCCTGGGGCCCACTGAGCGACTTTTAGGCCCTCCAAGGACATCTGGTTCTACAAGAAAGTGGTCAAGATGGGACTTTTCCAACACGTGCCTTCTGGTTGGGGTAGGGGTGGGACAGTGACCTTGAAACTGCTGCCTCTTACCCAGTAACCTTTGGGGGGTCAGCCAGAAGTGGCCTAGGGGCCTGTGCCCAGGGCGAGAGGGCAGGAGGGTGCCCCAGTGCCACCAACCGCACAGACTTTGCCAGCTTACTGGGCTGTAGATTGTAGAACACGTTTGAAAATCCTTTTCTTGAATCCTTTCTCCCAGGACAGGAATAGATTTGGAAGCAGCTCTGGTAACTGGTGCCTGGGCTGGCTGTACAGCCAAGTGCTGTTCACACCTGTACTATATGGCTCTGTGCTGGGAAACGAACTGAGGGGTCCCTGGGCCTCCCGTGGCTGCTAAGAGTGGATCTTCTTCCAGCTAAGGGTGTCCATTCGGTGCCTAGGACTTCTCCCACCAACTCACAGGACCTCTGTGCACTCTTCCCTGCTTTAGTCTTGGTCATGCCAGGGAGGCAGAGATCTGGATTCCCTCAGAATTTCTCGCACGTGGTAGGTTTTCAAACCGTTTTACTTGATTTGCCCTCTGCCCTTTGGGGAGCCCCATAATCCCTGTATAACCCAGCTTCCAGCAGCTGGTTGTTTCTGGGAGCTCTGACGGTGGGAATCCTGCCTGACGTCTTAGAGAAGAATTTTTGAGCAAGCCTTCCAGAAAATCCCACCTGACTCTAATGCACACCCTCCCTGAGGTGAGTGTGCATGTCCATCTGTGATGAGGATCAGACAGCCTCAGTATCCTCTCTGATCCTGCAACACACTCAAAGAGCAGTGTCTGGAGCTGCTGAACCTGGGGTAACAAGTATTAAACATCCCAAAGACGCATGCAGGTGAAGGGGACCAGGAGCCAGTGAAGATTTATGTCCTCACCAGCAGATCAGGGTTTTGGGGTATTAAATGGCCCCCTTTCCAGTCCCTTTGTGCCCTCAGCCCATTTTATTCCACACTAGCCCCTTCCTGCCCCCCCACCTGATGAATTCTGGCTGCCCTGGTTCATCTGACTGCCACTGAGTATATGAGCTTTTGGTCACTGCAGTTCCCCTTCCTCAGCTGGGCTGGGTGCCTGTACCTACCTCTTGTGACTTTTAAAAAACTTTTATTCCAAAATGCACACGTGGAGATGTCTCAAGAAAGGTGGTGTGGACCAATTGGTAATTGGAGAGCAGAGCTCATCAACCATATATGCTGGGTTCTTAGCCCTGGAAGTGGGCACCTGGCCTCACCAGGAGCAGTCTATAAAAGGCAGAGGGCAACCCTGTCTGCAGGGCAGAGGCGCAAAGGTGGGGGGCCAGGGCCCAGAGAGGGATAGCACTCATCCCTGGCCACCCAAAGCTAGGACTAGAGCTGGGCCCACTCACCGGCAAGATACCCTTTCCTCTACACGGGGGGTGGGGGGTCTCAACTTTGTCCAGATGCCTTCGCCTGAGCACTGGTAGTTTTGTTTTGTAAAAGGATTCAAGTATTGAGTTCTATTTAATCCTCACGAGGCTGGTGGGGAGGGAATGTTGGTATTCAAGGGAACTGAGAACAGAGAGGAAAGGGTGAGACTAGAATCCCCAAAGGATGGGGAGACAGGCCCTGGTGAAAGAGAGACAGCCTTGGAGCATGGGGATTTGATACCAAAAGCCCTGGACTGGACAGCTGCTCCTTCCTTGCTAGTCGTTTGGGCCCAGGGCTGTGGTGAGCCCATTCCTCTTCCACCGAATGGCATCATGCCCCATCTCCTGCTGTACCGCCTTGGGGGCTGTGGATAACTGACTGAAAGGCAGTGAGAACAGAGGGGTGCCTCAGACCATGTTAGGGCTACTACAACGGAGCTGGGGGTCCTGGGGCTCTCCTGGCCTCCACTGGGACTTGATCAGATTAATTCAGCTGCCATCTCGAAGGCTCTAGGATGAGAGTTCCTGGACAGGTGAGTTGCAGTGAGGAGCAGGGAGGCACCACCTAGGACCAAGGACCTTGATTTCTCGTGTTTCCTGGGCTTCTAAGTTTGTCCCTGAAAACTAGAGCTGGGATCAGGGAAGCCCCCCCCTCCAGGAAGGGGTAGGGAGTGGACCAGAGCATCCTCCCTCACCTGTGTCTCAGGCAAAAAGACTGACAAATACAGACCAGATCTCTTCCCAGTTACCATTTATTTTCCTTTTTCTAAGGCCTGGAGGAGAGGCCATTAGTCACAGGAGACAGCCCGTGATGTCTGTGGGGAAGATGGGCTGTCCCGGAGCAGGGTGCTGCCCTCTCGGGACCCGGCCTGGCCCGTGTCCACAGGTGACCCTGCTCCAGCCTCAGATGACGCTGGTCCTCCAGGTGCCCCGGCTCGACTCTGAGGGGCTGGCCTTGGTGCCGTGGGTGAGGCTGCTGGTGCCAATGCTAAAGGAGTTGCTGAGGGCCACAGGGCGCAGGGGGAGCTCGCGCAGGTGCCACTGCCGCCACTTCTTCTGAACCTCCAGCTGCACCTGCCCCGGAGACCAGCCGTCAGCCCAGGAGGGAACGAGGAGCTGGTGCCCAGAGCCCTGCTTAGTCCCCTCACTCCCCTGGGGCCTCTGCACGGGCCCTGCCACTCTTGCCCAGTAGTCATGCCTTCCCACCTCCTGCAGGCCACTCATATTGACCAATTCTAGTCCAAAGTCCAGGGGGTACTGAGGCCCTTCCCTGGGCTCAGTCACCTGCCATCTCACTACATATGTCCTGAGGAAGGGGCTTGGAGTTGTCACACTAACTCCAGAATGCCCCAGTCCACATCACCCCATGGAACCAGAGGACACATCCCCAGGAAGCCACCCTGGCTCAGAGCAAATCTGAGGGCCAGGGAGCTGCTTTGGAAATTTCCTCCACAAACCCCAGCTGTGACAGCAAAACCTGGGAGGCCTGGCTTGATCCCTCAGCTTTGGGAAACAGAAGTTACTCCTACTAGAGAGTGGCGAAGCAGACATGGTCAGCAGTCACAGAAAGACCTATGTGCAGTGCCATGTTCAACTACTGATCACACAGCTGCTGTGTGCCAGGAGCCTCATGTCCTGGCCCAAATGCTGTGCAAGGGCACAGGCCTTGAGGTACGCGTGCAGCCCCAAAGGAGTCAGTGCCCGTCTGGGGGTCTCTGAACTGGCAGAAATGTCATCTGAGCCACGCATTTTACAGATGGGAAGACTGAGGCCCAGAGCGGGGCATTGGTCCACCTGGCCAGCAGCAGAGGAATCAGGAGCTGGGGGTTGGGTTGGGGCGCCTGCACTTTCCTCCCTTTCTTGAACTTCCTGGGGTAAGAAGCACCTGGGGGGTAGGGAGGGGATAGGGCCCAGCAATTGTTTACCAAGCCCTCCAGCTGATTCTGTTGCTTCCATAAAGTGACTCAGACTCCTCCAAGAGAGGCCCAAGTCAGGAGACCTGGGCCTGCCCTGCCCACACCCCACCACCCTCCCTGCCACCCTTTCCAGGTAGCTCCCCTGACCCCAAAACCAGTGACAGGAGCTCCTCCAGGCATTGGGGCAGCCCAAGTGCACTCACCTCCCCGTTGAGGAAGCAGTAGAGGACAGCCACCACCAGGCCCTGCAGAGGGGGGCGCAGGGTTAGCACAGGTGCTCCAGCTCCAGCCTCCCTCTCACCTCCTCCCCAGCTCTTTAATCACCAGCTCCAGGCTCACTCCCCCACCTCCCTGGAAGTGTTCCAGAGCCTTCTCACACCCCTCACCTCAAGAGGAATGGGCACCCCCAGGGTCCCTCTCGTTTGTTGTCCCCAGGGTCTAGTGTAGACCTTGCACATCCCATAGTGTCAGTAACATTGAAGTGACGGCTGCCAGTTACACTGAGGGGAAGGCAAGTCACCTGAATTAGGTGGGCCATCTGGAGAAGCAGGGAGTGGCGGCCCCTGAAACACGCCCATCCCAGGAAGAGGGTGTGGGCCAGACCCTTGGCTCATAGTGGGCTCATGTTTCAGACAAGCTGGACCTTTGGACGGGAACTGCCATCTTCCAGTAATTCACCAAAACGACTGGCACAAAGGGAAAGGGGGGAGGCCCTCCCATAGGTTCTCTAGGCCTTTTAGGAAACAAGGAGTTGTTCCTTGGGCCACATGGGTGTGAATCTACAAGAAAGGCGATACATCAAGGGAATGGGCACTATTCAAAAAGGAATGTCCCACAAATGTTCCCTTGGCAAACCTGGAAGGGTCCACAGTGTCACCCAGCAAGCAGTGGGCACTGTAAACCAACAAGGGCAAGATTCTTGCCAAGAGAATGCAAGTGCATGTTGAGCACTCTGAGAGCCAGGCAGCCTCCGAAACGGGAGCCACCTGAAGGAGCGTGATCCGAAAAGGAAGGGAGCCAAAGAGAAAGGTGTCTAGGCTGAACTGAAGCCCAGCCCGCTCCGCCGGGGCAGCTGGCCTGTGAGGACCGTGGGAAGGCGCCTGTGCTGCGGGGCCACTGCCAGGGAATTCACGGCACCATAGGTATAAAAAGCAAAAGGCCTCTGTACTGGTAAACATGTTTCAGTTGAGTAGAAGTGTGGTGCTCCCTCTCCCAGAGAAATATTTAAAGAAAAAAAAAGATAAGCAGGACATCTGGAGAGGTTTAAATGTGGAGGACTATTCCATTTGAAAAATCAATGTGTGGTCAAAGCAAAGCCTGCGTGCGGCCCCGGTCAGCGGGCAGTGGGGCTCCCTGGTCAGGGGCCTCGGGGCCACATCCACTTTGTGTTCCCTGGGGTTGTGAAGTCTGCGCCTCCCTGTTATCTGGAGCTCCTGTTTATCCAATGGTGTCCCCTGGGATCCTGGCGTATAGCTCTGCCGGGGTAAGGATTACAGCTGGGAGCAGGATTTGAGCCTGACAGGCGTGCATAGAACCATGAGCAGCGAGTGAGGTCTCTGCTCACTTCCTCAGGGACCCACCTCGGGCCAGCCGGCTCTTCCTTACATTACAGTCCCTGCCCAGAGGCCCAGGTGTCACACTCTGACCTCACCCAGAGACCCAGGTGTCACACTCTGACCTCACCCAGAGACCCAGGTGTCACACTCTGACCTCACCCAGAGGCCTAGGTGTCACACTTTGACTTCGGTGGCCCAAGCCCTCTTGCCTACTCCCATCCAGGCCTGCCCTTAGCTTCTTACTACATTGGAAAGGACCCCAAAGAGCAATAAACCAGCCTGATTATAGGGGGCTTAATCCTGACGACTGCTCAGGGATGTTGGCATTTAACAAGGTTTGGTGACAAAACTAGGACTTGCTTTAGAGTTTCAGGCATCAATGACTGCTGCCTAGAATGGTGACAGCTTTGGGAGGGGGCAGGAAACACACTCAAAGCAGTGGTTTCCAAATTCTGCTGCACATTAGAATCACCTGTGAGCTCTGCCCAGGTTTCACTCTGCACCCCAAGTCCGAATGTCTGGGGGTAGGGCATCAGCAGCTTTGAACGACCCCCTGGTGGTTGGGATGGGCATCACTTATCGGAACCACTGTCAGGGTCATGCGGGGCAGGCTGTGAGATAAACATCTCTGAGCACAGCTTGGGCTCCTGGGTGCCAGGTGCTTCATTTAATCCTTGCCAAAGCTCTAGGAGGTGGGTGGGAGGACCCCCTTCTCAGGTGAGTGAACTGAGTCACAGGGATTTAGGCAGGACAGGAGCTGTGTGCGCGTGGCCCAGAGCTGGCAGTCAGGCTGCCAGCTGAGGCTGCTGCCCACCTCACCTGGCCCGGGGTTGCCTGGCCTCCCGGTCTGGGCCTCAAGGGTCCATATTTTCACCGTTCAGGGGAGGCAGGAGCCCTGGGCGAGGGAAAGTCAGATGTGCTCCAGGTACATATAAGGCAGGCCTCACGCAGCCAGCAACCTTGAGAAACTCTACAATCATTCAAAATGGAGTCTTTAAAGAATTTCAATGACACGGCTAATTGTTCAGGATGGACATGACGGAGAATTAAACAGACCGGCGGGATACAAACCACGTGGCATGATCCCAGTTACACACGCCTATGGGTGCACCAGTGCGTGTCTCCCTGCACAGGAGAGACACTTGGAAAGAGACACACCCACATCTCAACAAATGTCATTTCTGGGTTCTAGATTATGAAAAATTTTTTCAACTTTTCCTTACTTTCCAAATTTCCATCAATAAGCAAATTTTAGTTCTACAATTAGAAAGAGCTAATAAACTTTCATTTTTAAAAATATATGTCAGAGGTAATAGTATTGTCATTCTGTATGTGTTCTTTTTTTAGAAATGCCTACTAAAATATTTACATTTGAAATAAAACTATGTCTTGGATTTGTCTGAAATGATGGGGTGGGGGGCGGAGATGAAACAGGTGAGCCATTGGCAATGGCTACAGGGATTCACTATGCTCTTCGCTTTTATAAATTTTGTATAATACAAATTTTAAAAATATATGTTATATATAACATAAATGCATACTATATCATAAAATTATATATATATTTGTATATAGACAAATGTTCTTCAAAAACAACTCTTAAAGACCCCTTTTCTTTGTAAACATTTCTATGGGAACATTAGGAAAGTGCCCTTGGTTTTTGTGGACAAGCCATCTCCCCAGAGAAAAGCCTTTGCATGGGTGGTCCACAGCCCCAGCTCCAAGCGCCGGCACCAAAGGGCAGGGAGTCCCATCCATACGGGGGGCAGACCTGGTCTCCTTGCTCTCAGAGAGCTCTCTACCCCTCTGTCCACTGGGCGAGGCCTTCCATCTGTCTGGACCTGGAATCCCCCACCTGCTAAATGGGCCACTGTGAGCCCAGCCTCCCTATATACTCCAAGAGCAGTGGGATGAAAGCTTCCTGGCCCAGAGAAAAAGAATCATGGGTTACATAAGAAGCTGGGTTTCTGGAGGTCTGGGTGCCTCCAGGGGCTCTGGGCAGAAAGGAGGCTCAGAGAAGAGCAGAGAGGACAGCCCTGGGGTAGGCTCTGAGGGCGTGAGCTAAGGCAAGACTTGACTCCACTCAATAATGTGTTCCCAGCTATGTCTCCTCCCTGGAACCTGAGAGTGACGAAAGGACGGCCCTGGCAGGCCCACCCTGAACAGAACTCTGGGAATGAGGGCGGCTCTGAGCACCCGCCCTGGGGCCCAGACCAGCTAGTGAGGTGGGGGGCAACACCATCCACATTGTTGCGGACAGGCTGGCCTCTTTAGGAAAACCCACTGGGAAAACTTTCTCTCAGGCCCCAAAGCCTATAATCACCAGGCCTTTCCCGGGCACTAACTTGTTTTCATCTATGGATACTGGAAATCTTGAAATAAGTTGTATGTCTGTCTTTGCTTTGGCTACTAGGAAGCTCCAAACCCAATTTATGACCCACTTCTTCTGCCTTTATAGGACTTGAATTGAATTTGCTTCTGTGTATGAACTCTTTCAGCTTTATTTTCTTTTTTCACTGATCCCTCATCTATTTCTTTTCTGCCCTCTGTATGTTTTTCCTGAAAGCCACATCACATTATTTTGGGAAGAAGACAGCTGAGTAAATAAACAACCCGTGACATTTGGGAGTCGCTTCTGCCCAAACATGTTTACTACTGTTTCTTGACCTCACAACATCTGTTGAATTAGTAGGTAGGTGATTTCTCCCTTCACTTTTTTTCCTTTTAAGTTGGTTTTTATTTTTAATAAGTTGTGCATGCACATGGTTTCAAAGAATCAAATGATTCCTGTCACACAAAAACAGCAGCCTCCTGACACCCCCACCCCCACTTCCTGTTCCTCAGACGCAACTGCTTGGAAGTCTCTTAACTGATTCTAAGTAATATGCTGATGTTGCTACTTCTGGATTTTTCGGTTTGGGGCATTTTTATGGACTTCCCAGTACAAATATGAGGATATTATTCTTTCAAACACCCTCCCACAACACTCATCTTCCTGCCCCACTTTTTGATGGCTCGGCCAGAGCCCTCAGGGCTTACATTAATTACTGTGGCTGTGTAGACGCTGGAAGTTGCACAATATAGCGTATTAGGGTTACTGTTTCCTTTGTTTTCCCTGGAATCAGTCTCTCTGCCCTTAGTCTTACCTCCCACCCCCGCTTGACTGGGGGGGAACTTGGGTTCCCCTCAGGGCCACACAGCACAGTGCAGTCCTGCCCCCGCTGCTCTGGGTCTCTGCTAAGTGAGGCATCCACCTTCCCAAACCAACTGCACCCTCCGGGGTCTGGCTCGCTGCTTTGGGGCCTGCAGGCTTCTCTAAGGAAGCAGGAAACTCCTTTCACGTAAAGTCACAGCCCCTGAAACTCACCTGGAATGAGCCAAGGGCAAGTTCAAAAAACAGCTGGATCTCCATGGCCTCATCTGGCGAGAAGGCAAAGATGATATAGTGGGCGCCGAAGAGAGGGATCAGCAGGAGGGTGGACTTGGCCAGGCGCCTGAGGACACAGACACGCGCAGTCTGTCCCTCGCCCCGCCTGCGGGCGCACGGCTTCACACACACCATCCACCTACTTGCAGGAGGCGGGTGTGGCAGTGTCCCCAAACTTTTTTAGTTTTACTTTTTTTTTTTTGGAAAATTTTCAACTCTCATGTACCCATCACTGAGATACAACACTTATCAACCCAAGGCCACACTTATCAACCCATGACCAGTCTCAAAACTTTCTGATCAGGCACCCCTACTAGTAAAAAAGCCTGAACATGGACCCACTCAAATAACCATTTATTCATAAATAATGTGCATATATGACTCCACTCTAGGCCTAATATAGTATCAGCAAAGCCCCCATTCTTATTCATTTGATAATAAGGAGAAGTTTTTTCATTTTTTTTCCCAGGTTAGGTTGACCAAATTTAGCAAGTAAAAATACAGGATGCCCAGCTTAATTTGAATTTCCGATAAACAACGGATTTTTTGGGAGTATAAGTACTAAAAAACTATTTGTTGTTTATCCAAAATTCAGATTGAACTGAGAAGCCAGTATTTTATCTGGAAATTTCACCCTGTATGCCCAACTCCACCCTACTTTGGAGCCCACTGCCCTTAAGACATCCCAAGGAATCTGTCACCAAGTAATCCAGGCTGCTGCTGGATTCTTAACACTCTGAACATCGCAGAGAAAGCCTTTGTGAGACACTAGTTTGCCTTTAACTTCTGTGATGGGTTGAATTGTGTCTCCACCCAAATTCACAAGTTGAAGCTCTAACCTGCAGAATGCAACTATATTTTCAAATAGGGCCTACAAAGAGGTTATTTAGTTGAGGTCATTAGCATGGAGCTTCCGTCCAACTGACACCAGGGATGTGAGCACAGAGAAAAAAACCATATAAGACACAGCCAGAAGGCAGCTGTCGGCAAGCCAAGGACAGAGGCCTCAGTTGAAACCAAATCTGCTGACACCTTCATCTTGGATTTCCAGCCTCCAGAACTGTGAGAAAATTAATATCCTTTGTTCAAGCCACCCAGTCTGTGGGATTTTGTTATGGCAGCCCTAGTGAACTAATACAGCACCTTTAACATCTTAAAGGCTTTAAAGTATTTCTGGATGCACATCTTAAAAATCTGGTGAAAGTTAAGGTCATTCTCCCCTGAAAAATAGATAACACTATCCTTGCCCCAAGGGTAAAGTCTCTGCCTCCTGAGATCCAGCAGAGATTTTCTAACTCCTCCCCCCCAGGGAAGTGTCTCAGGCTTCACAA